TCACCTGCATGTTCGGTAACTTTTCCCCAACTAGTACATGTTGTGCTGCCGCTACCGGGTCCGTATCTCAAGCTATCATTTCAGATACTGCCGTAACCCAGTTCGTATCCCAGCCAAACAACCAAATCTAGAATACCAATATTTAATAATCATTTACCGTATTCTATCATGCGTTAATGTATTATCATCAAAGTAATATAAAGCTCTTACTAAGGCATAAGTTTGATTCGAATTTTGTCCTTCAATTATAAAGCGATAAGTAGCATGTGCTTTTGCCGCCTCAAAAAGGTCAGCAGCTATAAATGCACTAAATGGATATCTTCGTGTAATTGATCTATATGTATAAATAACCATTTGCTAATTTTTATTATCAGTTATCCGCACGAATTTGTACTCACAAATTTACAAGTAGCTTACTCATTAGTATCACTTTCTAACTCAACAAAAATAGACTGTTTATTAAGCTTAATCGCTAGTAAAGATAATTCTTGGAAATGTAATATAATTTATTATGTTAGTTTTTTCATAAAGAAAAAATAGCCTTAAAAAAACGGATAACATATACCTGACGCGTCATTCTCTTCGTCCATCTTCTTGGTCATTTGATATAACCCTTCTCCGATAGGACACAAACATCTGGTACAATTTAGAGGCTTCCATTTTCTAGAAAGACCTTTGGTCCACTGATGAAACAAAATATATAAAAATAGATAAATATATATTGTATATTATCTGTAAACTAATAGACTCGATATGTGCTCCAACGTAATAATACGCGTTACAATGCTAGTATACGCATAATGATTCCTCGATGGTACAGAATTTATATCAATTCACTTATTATAGGACTTTGGTATCGGCTAGTTATCAATTTCCTTCGATCTTAGCCTTCTTTAAGTCCAATTATTATATAATAAAACCAAACAAAAAAACAAAAAAAATATATTATATGATGAATTCATACATCCATTTGGGCTAATCTTTCTTCAATTTCGAGAGAATCATTTTTAACATCTTTAGGATGAATCAAGAAATATGTATTGCCAACCAACCCGATATGTTCTCTAACAATTATATCATTCATTCGTGCTTGTTGATAATCTTCTTGATGACACATCCAACACTCTATTAGTTCCGCCCAATGTTCTGAAGGCATATCCATTATTTTAGAAAACGCGTTCGTTTTAAGTAAAGGTATCTTACAATAAACACATTGAATGTTTTTGAGCTTTGTTAGCTCACTTGCTGAAAAGGGTGGAAGAATATCCTTGGCACTCGGCTGTTTTGCAGGTTTCTTGCGAACATAACTTCTCAATTTTAATCTGATATCAAAACTATCTTGTGAAGTAGTAATAATTGGCTTATCGTCAGTTTCAATAGTCTGTGGAAGGTTCAGTATTGTCTGTAGACACTGTGCAGTTGATTTATTTTTATGCTCTAAAGTAATTCTTAAAGGGTACATTCCAAGCTTGAAAGACGATCTTGTTTTTTCAGTAGGTAGCCCAACGCTCATGTTCATTGACCGAACGTTAGCCAATATTTCAGCAAAGACGATTGATTCCATTATTGAATGCAAAGCATTTTACAATAAAGATATGATATAACTGCAACCAAAAAACTAGTGCCCTAGTCGTGGCAACAAAATTTGTCGCTAAAAATAGATTCTACTTGAACCGCGTGACGATCTGCACAATTTGGCCAAATTAAACCTAGGTGCCGCAAGCATAGCGGGCTTTCATTGTGATTAGCCAATTTTTGTAGATCATCCCGTGATATAGTAAAAATTTTATTGGTTAA